CAGAAACTTGTGGAGATCAGTGTAGTAGTGGTGTAGTAGTGGTGTTCACTTCAGTGTTTTCCAGGGCCAGTCGGCCAGGTATGGGCATCGTTCCATTGTTCAGAGCTGGAATAATGCACTCAATTCTTCTTTTACTTCTAAAAGCCGCTCCAAAGGATTTTTCCTTCACTGGCTTGAGTAAACACCAGGACAGACCACTGTCTGCAGGTGCCCAAAGGCCACGCAACGTATTCCAAGGACCACAGGGTTCTAGGCGGTTGGATCTCTTTAGCACACCCAAGCCCTCTGACATACTGCATGCGCGGTCAGTTTTGGTCAGTGAAGGGTATTGAAGGATATTGCAAAAATTTCAGGAGAACTGAAAGTGTTTTAAACAAAATACCTGATCTTCACAAATGCTTTTTTTTTTTTTGCTTGAAGTCCAGCCACAGTGGATCCAGTCCCGGTGTTTGCTGCATCTTCACACCTAATTGTAGCACCTGAGATAATTAGACTTCCCAATAAAAGGATCCTGTGTGAGTTTCCTCAGGTTTGCATGCAGTGCTGCAGCTCAAAGCAGTTTCTGTAGTTTTTAACACTTGTTTTTTTTGTTAACCTGTTTTATGCCAATGACCAACTTTTAAATTTTTTTTTTTTTATTATTATTTAATTTTAAACTTTATTTTAGAAAACAAAAAAACAAGAAAAAAGCGAGCAGACCAAACACACTAGTCTGAGCCTGTTAAAGACACTCAAAGGGGATAGAAATGATTATGTACAGACCTGAGCAGAAGCAGCAAAGGAACAGTGGAATATAAATAGCACAGGAGCTTGATTCTCAGCTTTGTACAAGGTGATATCAAGACAGAGAAGTTTTCAGAGTTTCTGCAAAGTGAGTGCAAAAATAAAGAGTGAAAGTTTGGGAAGTGCTATAGGGGCAGAAGGTACCATTTATTTTCAGATACAATTTTAGAAAGTGGCAAACAAAATGCAGCTCAAGACACACAGACTGAGCCTTTGTAAACAGAATCTAATACTCGATGGGGTAGAACATTGTAAATAACAATGTTAACTGTATCTTTACACAGCTATGGGGTTTTTTTTTTTTTTTGCATTCTTTTTCCAAACCAGAAAAATGTTTGTTTTGTCCAAAGAGTAACAAACAAGTACAATAGAAAAACATACAAAATCCAGATACAGGAAAAGCCACCCTAGACACGGGCCTTCGGCATAGCAGATATATGAGGAAAAAGGGACTTCTTCATACGACCCTACGTGGAAACATTGGTAGATGGAAATATGTGCCAGGGATCGGACTCATCACCTACCCACACAGTCGGCTGTGTGACCTGCTCCTCCAGGATCTTCTTTGGTCCTCACTTCCCTGGACTTCACCATCCAGTGTACAAAAATGACACTCCCAAGGTCTAGAGAAAATAGGGGAGGTAGGAGAGCAAGCCTGCTCCATCTCCACCTATTACCAGTAATTAATGGCTATGGTTGGGTAATGCAGGCGTCGTCACCTATGAATATTATTTGCTCTCAGAGATTTCTCCAGGAACGTTTGTTTTGAGTCTATAGATACTTTTGGACAGCTGTTTAAGGGGGATTTTTAGTCCCCATAAGGGTCCTTTCACACGGGCGTTGCGTTTTTTTTTTCTTCAGTTCAGTCTTGTTTTTTCAAACAAAAAAAATGGATGAGTTTTCATCTGTTTACATCCATTTTTTAATCCATTTTACATAGGTTTACATCCGTTTTTCATCCTTTCAGATCAGTTTACATTCGTTTTCATCTGTTTACATCCATTTTTTTAATCCGTTTTACATCAGTTTACATCCGTTTTTCATCCTTTTAGATCAGTTTACATTCGTTTTCAGCCGTTTACATCCATTTTTTTTCATCTGTTTAGATCCATTTACATCCATTTTTCATCCGTTTAGATCCATTTTCATCCGTTTTTGTCAGTTTACATCCGTTTTTGATTCATTTACATTTTTTCGTCCTTTCCCGTTTTTTTTTGCGGAAGAAAAATAAGGTTTTCTTCAGCTCAAAAAACGGATGTTAACGGATGCGGCCATTAACAGATGTAAAAAGATGTTCATCCGTTTACATCCGCAAGTCCATGGAAATACATGGGGGTCCATTTTTCATCCGTAAATGGACGGATGAAAAACGCACATACGGAATGCCCGTGTGAAAGGACCCTTACATGTTGGTGGATTTTTTTTCTACTGTTGTCACGTGTAATACCAGTAATCCACTTCAAGTGATTCTAAAGGTTAAATTTTTTTTTGGAAAATAACAAACATGACTATACTTACCTGCTGCATGTAATGGTTTTGCACAGAGCAGCCCTGATCCTCCTCCTCTCGGGTCCCCCGCAGGCTCTCCTAGCCCCTCCCTCCTGTTGGGTGCCCCCACAGTAAGCAGTTTGCTATGGAGGCACTCATTGCTCCATGTGTCCATTCACACATGGAGCCCCAGCTTGGCCCCGCCCCTTCTCTCTCCTCATTGGCTGACTGACTGCTAATGACTCTTGCTTGCTGTCTCAGCCAATGAGGAGGCAGAGACCCGAGACAGCCGAGGTGGTTGTTCACATCGCTAGATCACGATGAGGCTCAGGGAAGTATTGAGGCGGCTGGGGGCACTTCTGCACGTGAAGAATGCATGAAAGTAAAAAAAACCTTGAGCCTTTACATCCACTTTAAGATGATTGTTTGGCACTTTTTTGGCTTATCTGTCCTTGGATTTTTCAATTTGGGTGACCCCTCTTCTCTTGGGGTTCCCAGCTTTGTGGAGAGATGCTGAGCTGCTGAATCTGAGCCAATAGGGCTAATTAAGAACTCAGTTTGATGGTTTAAAGTTATTCTAAAGGTTTACATTAAAAAAAAAATGTCTATACTTAATTGCTGTGTGCAGTGGTTTTGCACAGAGCAGCCCGGATCCTCCTCTTCTTGGATCCTTTGCCTGTGCTTCTGGACCCCCCCTCCTGTTGGGTACCCCCACAGCAAGCAGCATGCTATGGGCGAGCACCCAAGCGTGCACATCTCCAGCTGCTTATCCGTGTGTCTATAGACACATGGAGCAGCGGCTCGGCCCTGCCCCCACCCCCTCTATCTCCTCATTGGCTCACTGGCTATGACTGACAGCAGCAAGAGCCAATGGCTTCTGCTGAAAGGCTGTAAAGACATAGTTAAAGCTACTGGAAGCTTGCTGAAAGTTTCATACCAGCTTGCTGTTCACACTGCTCTAAGGGCTTGTTCACACTTGATTATTTTGTTTCTTGCCAAATGCCCCTATAGCATTTGACAGGCGTTAGACAGGCATTTGGGAAGCATTTTTAATGCTCCTCAAACGCTCCCCAAACACCCTATTTTTGAGGCATTTTCCAAGCGTTAAAACCGCACAAATGCCTATAATGAAGTTTAATGGTATTAGCGCTCCGTAAACGCCTCGCAAACGCCTGCAGGCGTTTGAGGAGCATCACCATGCACTTGAATGGGAGGCTTTAACTTCTCCTGACTTGACATGAGGCGTCAAATTTGCGGCAAAGCTACCTCTTCAGTGTGAACAGCCATGTGTAGAATTTTCATAGGCGTTTGAGGAGCGTTAAAAAACGCTTCCCAAATGCCTAACGCCTGCTAACAATGATTTTGAAAATCGGTTGTTCTTCACGAATTTTCCAGCATGCCCGATAAACGAAATGCGCAGCAACCACGAAAATCAGCCGGTGCCATTGCCCCACCAACAGAGCGAAAATTATTATTATTCTTAGGTCTGATTTTCTAACTAAAAATCGACCCATGTATGGAAGGCCTAGCAGAAGTGTATGAGGACACAATGAGACACAGGGGGGGGGAAACACAGGCTGGCAGTACAGGTGCAGATAACGAGGGCCTGACAGACACACACAGAACAGACTGCTGCAGACCAGCACGAGCAACTGAAGTGCAGAGGGGGAAGAGAGACAAGATGCTGGCAGGAATGCACAGGATTACTAAGGTAGGAACCAGACAAGGGACACAGGTATGGGGTCACTGCAAGGGCCACACAAGGCTGGATGCACAAGGAGCATAAAGGCAATATAGAGAAGCACAGAAGAAATGCAGACGGAATCACTGGGGAACACAGGGGGTCCATCTGCTAGCGTGTGAATGCATTGCTCAAAACTCTGAGCAATACCCACGCCAGCCTTTAGACACAGCATCTCCCTATGGGATTGGCTGGAAGCCGGCGAAAGCACCTAGAGGGAAAGATTTGGTCCTAGAGCCTGGAACAGGTGAGTGTGACAAGGAAAGGGGGTGCACAAGGTCAGCAGCACTGAACTTCAACAAAGCCTGAAAATATGAGGATTTCAGTGAAAAAAGACAATTTTTATGCTATGATATGACACATTTATTTACTAAAGGCAAATCGAGTGTGCACTTCGCAAGCGCAGTTGAACTCTGTGCAGTGCAATCGCTCCAGACCTCAATAAACGATGTAAAGCGTCACTTTAAAAAGAGTACCCAATAGCATTTTTGCTTCCACATGATTGGATAATGGAAGTCAGCAGAGCTTTACCACATTTACCAAGCTCTCTGGAGCAACCGCCCTTGCAAAGTGGACGGTCCCATTTGCCTTTATTAAATCACCCTCAATTGGTTGTAGTAAGATAAACCTCATCTAGTTAAGGTTTACCTCTACTTTAACCACTAGCCTGCCAGGCACTTATACCCCCTTCCTGCCTACAGGGCACTTATACCCCCTTCCTGCCTACAGGGCACTTATACCCCCTTCCTGCCTACAGGGCACTTATACCCCCTTCCTGCCTACAGGGTACTTATACCCCCTTCCTGCCCAGGCCAATTTCCAGCTTTCAGCGCTGTCACACTTTGACAATTGTGCGGTCATGCAACATTGTACCCGTATGAAATTTTTATCTTTTTTTTGTGACAGAGCTTTATTTTGGTGGTTTTTTATTTTTTCTTAAACCAAAAATTTTGTAAATAAGTGATTTTTTCTCCTTCACTGATGTGCGCTAATGAGGCTGCAGTGATGGGCACTGATAGGCTGCACTGATAGGTGGCACTGATGAGGAGGCACTGATGGGCACTGAAAGGCAGCACTGATAGGCGGCACTAACTGGCACTGTTAGGCAGCACTGACGGGCACTGATAGGCAGCATTGATGCACACTAATAGGCAGCACTGACTAGCACTGATAGGTGGCAATGACTGGCACTGATGGGTGACACTGAAAGGCAGCTCAGATGGGCACTGATATGTGGCATTGATGTGGCACTGATGGGCACTGGCAGGTGGCATGGATGAGCACTGACAGCTGGCACTGATGGACACTGACAGGTGGCACTGCTGGGGCTACACAGATCATCAGGGCACACTGATCATCAGTGCCCTGATGATCAGTGTACATGTCCCTTCCGAGGAATGCTGATTACTGGCTCGCCTCTCCTCTCGAGCTCTCAGCATGACAGCTCGTGAGGAGAGAAATGCCGATAACCGGCATTTCCCTATTTACATGAGATCAGCTGTGATTGGACACAGCTGATCACATGACCGAGCCGACATCTTCGGCTCTTTCCGTCGATCGGTGGTCCGCTGTGTCCGAGGGACACAGCGCACCACTGATTGCCGCGCTGCACGCTCCCGGAGCCACGCATGCATGGTGAGAATGGGAGGACTTCATAAGACGTCCTCCCAGAACGAGAGAACCGCCTTGCGCCCGTCCGTCATTGGACTATATGGCAGGTGGGAGGCAGTTAATAACCTCCATGCAATACCACATTTTACATACTTTATTAATTGTGACCAAAAACAGAGAGAAAAAAATGAATTGGTGCATGGCAAGTCTCGGTCCTTTAATCTTTGTTTTATAGATTATTATTTTTTTAAAAATGAAATATTCTGGAGATCACTGTCTGGTTCCACAATATAAGTATAGTAATAGACTGATACTGCATCAGCAAAATGTTCAACTGCTCCTCTGCAAAATGCTCCTGGCTGTTCTGCATGGCAGATAGGTCATATTTTTAACTGATTCTTCAACTATAAATAGAATATTAGTTTTATATGTTGAGTCTTTATATTAGTTCAGCTAAATGCTTTTCCGCTGCTGCTGAGCAAGCAGTCAGCTGACAACCTTCGATTATATGTTTTACCACAATTAATCAGGCAGGAGGTACACTCAACGGGAATCGCTTGCAACAGGAGGAATTTCCAATCTGGTATTTATTCTTGGTAAAGGTGGGAATAACGATTAGAAAATCGACGATCGGTCATCCGGCGTTCCGAGAGGCGTTCTTTCATTGGTTGAAATCATGGCCCACGTTAACCAATCTAATAGAGGACTCCCCCCCCCCCCCCCCCCCCGGGAGGTAAGATAGCACAAGATCCTTGTAAGTTTAACTATTTGTGCCTCTCTGGCAGCAGAGTTTGTCTTGTCACCTCTTCTGCTTTTCTTTCTCCCTAATCTGTGTTCCCTTAGCACAGTCTGTAATTTTTTTTTTTGCTTTCTTTCACCTTTTGAAATGGTAAATCTTAAAGCTGTCAGTTGATTGACTTCAAATGACTCAGATTTTAGGAACCGTGCTGAGAATAGAGAATAACTGAGCATGTGCAGAGCAGGGTGAGACATTGTATACCTGCAAAAGGGGCCAGCCTGGAGTGATGTACTGTAGCGGGACTTCGTTTTCTGACTAAAGTTCCTCATTAAACTCCACAATGCTCCAGTCACTGCGCCGCCATCAGAAGGTCTTTCACTGAACCGCTTCCTTAAGGTGTTTGAACAAACCACTGGTGCGTGTATAATGGCAAATGCCTTCTTCAGTCATGACTTTGGAATGCGATCTGATAAATTATTACCCTTCTTAAAAATAACATGAGGCACAAGGTCACAAGCTACAGAGGTTTTCAGAGATCGCCTACTCTTAGGTGATCTCTGAAAACCGATCTCTTCAGGGAAGCCTATCCTGCCTTCAGCTGATAACTGAATCTTCTATTCCTTCCACCAGTCCATCCCCCACAGTTATTACCTTTTGTACCGCAAGCCCCTCCCTCTTAGATTGTAAGCTCCCAAGACTCTCCTATCCCTCTTGTATTGAACTGTATTGTTGCTGTATTGTCTCCCTTTATATTGTAAAGCGCTGAGCAAACTGTTGGCGCCATAAATCCTGTATAATAATAATAATAATAATTTGAACTTACTGATCACCTACATTCTGGTGCAATATTGATATAAAAAATGACACGAGAAAGGCCTACTGCATTTGAATATTTGCATGGACTTTTAACCCTGTGAGGACCAAGGGACGTATTTGTCCCATGTTTGTAATTGCGTGTATCATCTGATTAAGAACTTAAAACTCTTTTTTTTTTTTTTGGTTTGAGTCAAAATATTAGTTCTTATCAACAGACAACAAATGGATCTAGCTTTTTGCCAATTATTTCATGAAATGGCTTAGTTACAGCAACTGAAGTGTACGAACTTTAAAAACAAAAAAAATTGATTCTTTTGGCGTTCCAAAACCTTACGGTCCTCAAAGGGTTGACCTATAACATGATAATACTTTCTTAGACAAATCTTTCCCCAATCATCACCTTTCCAGACAGGGATCCTTATAAGATTAAGATATCTCATATCTTCCCTGGAATAAAAATGTTCACATCGCCAAGTCCTTCATCTGTACTACTTACATATTAAAATGTAAAAAAAAATACTTTCTTTAGCTAAATTTTAATGGGAGTAATTTTACTGATCCTATTGCACATGTAATTGTTTCTGTACTATTTGTATTTATTACAGGTACTTATATAGCGCCGTCAGTTTACGCAGCACTTTACATATATATTGTACATTCACATCAGTCCCTAACCCTCAAGGGTCCCTAACTTACATTCATACATATTAGGGCCAATTTAAACAGGAGCCAATTAACCTACCAGCATGTCTTTGGAGTGTTGGAGGAAACCGGAATCCCCGGAGGAAAGCAGGCACAGGGAGAACATGCAAACTCCAGGCAGGTGGTGCTGTGGTTGGGATTTGAACCAACGACCCGATTACCACCAGGTGGAAGTGCTGACCATTTAGCCACTGTGCTGCCACTATGCCTTTTTATTTTTCTTTTTTTAATTTTCAAAATGACTTCATTCAGAGAATGCTTAAGAGGACTGGGTAGCACAGCGGGAGGAAAGCCGCGACTACAGTCTGGACGGGGCTAATACAGACCGCAGCCGCCGCTCACCTCCCGCTGTGCAGCTATGTCCAAAGCAGGGCCAACAGGAGGAGTGGCAGTGATGGTTCCTGAAGACAAGCAGGAAGCGCTGCTGACATAGGGACACCTCCTTGGCCAGCCGCTGCACTGAAGGGAGAACGGCGGCCTCCCTCTTCACCTGCGACCGCCGGCAGACTGTGACAGGTCTATAGTGGTGGATGGGACTGTCTCTTTGCTGGATGAACTAAAATGCCCAGATCTATTTTTTGTCCCAGAGCGGGCCTGATCCCTCCCATAGCTCTGCTGTCTGCACAGGCTATGTACAGCACAGTGATAATATCACAACTACATTTACAAGGTAATATCTCGATTTGCAAAGGGTTTTTGGTGCACACAATGTGAATTTGTATCATCAGCGGCTAATGAGGAATATATTACAATGATGGTTTTTATGCCAGTTTATCTTCTAGAATTTCTATGCAATTTGAAACTAGCTTCCCTTTTTTATACTCTCTATACTGGAAACACAGCACACCATTATAGAATGAGCTTTTCAATCATATCTCATACATGCACTGGATGAATTAACTGCAAGACTTCCGAGTAGATTAAATACAAGCAGGTATACTGTATAAATGAATCATTGTTACAGCCACACAATGGGTACTGCAGCAATCTGATTATATATTATATTCAAGATTTTAATTTAAATTATATTAGCATTTTATTCGTTATTCCTGCTCATTACATTGAACCTACTCTTGTGTTAATTACAGTAAGTCCTCTACTTACGAACATTCGAGTTGCGAACTTTCAAAGATACGAACAACTTTTTTTTTTGTTGAAAAATATACATTATTTTTTACAAAAGTATAAAAAAAACTATACTTTTAGTCAGGGTACATCTCATCCTGTACTGCGACGCAGCGCATAATACACCACATTACAATACAGTTCTAGTCATACAATAAATACATACAATAAGTACATTCGCTCAGCGGTATGACGCCTAACGTGATGTGCACGGCGGACAATTCCCCAGACCATCACGTCATGCATGACGCCGTTTACCCCAAGACTTTTTTGTGGCCCCCTAGGTTACCCCCAGAGGCGCCACCACATAATAAACATAGCATGCATAAACTTTTCAGAATACATAAATTCAAACAAATACAAAATCCAACAAGCATCGGGGGCCCAGTCCAGCCTACCAGGTACCTATGGGAGTCACTTTTTATTTTTCATCACAGATCTCCAATTACATCCCCCAATCAGTGAAGATCTCTTCTCGGCCTTTTGGCTAAGATCAAGTGTAGTATCTGTTCTTATCAGTGTCCAGTAGGGGTGCTCCACCATGATTCTAGCTTTGCAGGGATGACTGGTTGTATAGTACCCCTGCTGGTATGATGAGGGTCCTGATGGTTAGTACAGGCTGGAACAAAAACCGAGGCACCCACAGGCTGCTGGGGCCCGGGAGTAATTCCCCCTGGAAAACCGGAGGGGCCCAGTTCCTCCTGATTTGAACGGATCTACCTTGTCTGGCCAGGGGCCAGGAAGGCAGAAAGTCCATGAACCAGTGCCCCCTGAGAGTGGTCTCCTCAGGGGTGCTCTTAGTAACACTTGGGCGTGGGACCCCAACGTGTGAAACGGCACATGGTCACTGTTTCAAACACACTTTTCCTGCACTGCGCCTTTTAGGGCTAGGCCTTTTGGCTAAGTCCTGGGCAATTTTTGCTACGGGGCTCAGGGCCTGGCCAGTGCACAATTGCACGGCCACTTATTTATTTAATTTATTTTTCTCCTCACGTTTGTCACTTTTTTCACTTTTGTGTGTTTTCTTTCTCACAGGATGGTAGGGTGTGGGTCCTTGGGTCTAGGGGGAGGATGTGTGGCCTTTTGGTTCCTTCCTCCCCTGTCCCTAGGGGGTTTTCTCTTCGGGAGAGCCCCCTTACCAAGTACTGAGTGGCTGGCCACAAGGAACGGGATCCACCAGGCCTTTTGGCTAGGTGGACCATATGGGAACCTTGTCCCTGTCAGGAGCTTTGTGCCCTGGGGGATCAGGGTAGAGGTCCTACCCCTTCGGGGGGAGGACAAAGCACACCCCTAAGTGCACTTTTTTGTGTGGTGTTTTGCACTTGCACGTTTTTTTGTGAACACTTACGGGTTTTTTGTTTTTCGCACGTTCGCGGACTTAAAAAAAAAATTCCCATGATAAGTAGGTTGTAGGGACCTTTACATGAAAGTATAATTGACCTAATAATCATGACAATAAATGAAGGATAGTAATGGCCACCAAAGAAACACAAAGAAACAAAGACATTGAAAACTGCGGTGACCGCTTACATTGCTGGTCAGCATAGAAGTGACCCCTCACATTGGTGGTCAGTGCAGAAATTACCTCTTA